TTCATCAAAAGACAACAACCAAAATCACCGTACGAAGATGCATGGTTAATGGTTGTACAAGCTGAAACTGAACTGAAACTACGGGGATTTTCTCTTACTGTAGTGGCGCAGTGGTTTAATGGTTGTCACAGACGTGCTTCGGACCCTATGTTCCGATGTTCGAGCCCCGCCACCGCCACTCAACTTTGGTGGTAAACAGCCTTGCTGTCGTCCGGTCCAATAACACGCCTGACCTATCGGGGCTTTATGTAGTCCACTACTCCAAGTTCCGGGGCTTAGGTTGCGGTTTCCATCACTGAACCACAGGTCCTCATGACTATGGGGTTCACTCCGATTGCTGTTCATCACACGAACGTGTGTAATAAAAAACGCGATCATGGATTTCCTCCCAGTTGTTCGGCAGAATATCTTTCAACAGAGGAGTACTTTGGTCTATAGAACAATCAGCTGTCTTGAAAAATCTAGAATCTGCCTGATCCTACTCTTCCATCTCTTTCGCATTCAAACTCACCACTTCACTGGTAGCTCCGTTGAAGATTGCCAATCACAATTCAGCTACTGATTCCGAAGTAACTTAGGTACCAATGTTTCAACGAAACTGTTTCTGAAAGTGCTCCGCTCAACGACGAATTCACTGCTACTTAATATGGATCGATGTGAGTTTTCTCGCCAACTAAATTACATCGAATATCAATTGAAACATGGGCTATTTTTATCACTTTGAAGGACCCCGGAGGCTAGTGCTGAGATGAACAAGGTGTGATGCCTGCAACAAGCTCGCAAAGATGTGTTGTGCTATATCGTGTATGAAGAAAATGAAAAATGGTCTAATCAACTGCCTGATAACCACTGCCCTGCGGGTCAGGCTTTGGTTAACCAAAGGCTCCGGTTGTGGATTCCCCAAGAAAATTCACTTGCTTTGACCTGAGCAAACTGGCAGTTTCGCGTCTACGAGCAAGTCACGGAACGTTTTTTTCTTTTTGTAGAGATCATTGTTTTGTGATTCGTTTGGCACAGTCTGAAACTAGACGTGCGACTTCGACTAAGCGATCTCCATTGAATACCTTGCCGTTTGACCTAAGCAACCACCTTATACAAGGGAATGAGGAATAATTACTGAGATGGGTTGAACAATTTGACCCGCAGCTAAATCACGTGATTAGATGTACAGATCGCTCAGCAGAAAACTTTGTTTTAAACACTGAACTGCAAGCAACTACGTAGCGGGGAAATCGCCCCACTGGTTATTAAATTCAAAAGCAGAAAGACCTCTGGAGAAAACGGTATTCTGGTCAAGGTATTCAAATTCTCTATCCCAGTCTTCCTTGTCAGTGAGCGTTCACAGTTCTCCTAAATCTGGGAAATGGCGATCTCTCAAGATTGGGCATCTCTTTTCTGCTATCTATCATCTAAAACGATGGTAAGACTGTGTGCGAAAACTGCTGAAGCATCTGCCTGATCAAAATACTGCCCAAAATGCTCACAGCGATACTTCTGAATCGCTTCACAACAGCAAAGGATGCGCGAACTGGCGCAAACCAAGGCAAATCGTTCCGTCGCAGGGGCTGTTCTGATCTCCGTCGTGTATAGGAACACTGCCGCGATCTCCAGCAGCCAACGGCTGCTCGCTTTATCGACTTATATACGGCCCTCGGTTCCGTTCACCGAAACTGCTTTAAAGTAATACTGCTCGGGCACCTGAACTCGTCCCCGCACATACGGAAGGGTTTAAGGAGTTCTTTTTAAAACTCAGGAGTTCAACGTGCCTGTCTGCTATCTTCGGTATTATTTGACCACATCTTTGACTGAATGATGAATCACGCGTTGGCTGATTAATCAATAGTACAACATGGACCGGATAGCTGTATCACGAAAATCGAGTTTCATGGGTGACACTGTCGATCTCGGGACACCCCGGACAACCTACGATCGACCGTCATCCGTTTTATTAAATATATTGGCTCAGAGATAAATAGATCCAAGACCAAAGCTATTCTGACCGCAATAATTCAAGCACAACACCCGATCACAATCAAATGCGAGCCAGTGGAATTCGTCCAGGCTTTCAAATACCTTGACTCCACCTGCCATCCCAACGACCAAATTAGGGCCGAAACTACAGGTACTATGGACACAACGAAATCAAACACCATTTTAAGCTGCAAGCCTGTCTAGCTACCATTCATTCTGTCATGAACTATGGCTGTCAAAAGTGGCCAGGAAAATTCCAAAATCTCCAAGAGCTTTAGGTTTTCGATCACCGGTGTCTGCATCACATACTACAGCCAAAATGGCACCACTGATCATTTAACTAGAAAATCCACCGGTACTGTTGTTTCATCGAGAGCACCGTCATCTTCGGTGGTTCAGTCATGTTCTCCGGTGTCCTACTACGGAGCTCTCGCGAAGAGCTCTCTTCCAAACACCGTTTCCGCTGCTGTCTCGTTCAACTTGTATCACCACCTTCAAGGAAACCATGGAATACCTGAGTTTGAAAATCGGGTATGGCCTCCGAAGCTAGAATCGGAGCCGGCTTTCACGGTACGCCAACCGTGCAGCTGAGTGCTCCTCATGAGAAGCCCGTATCAGTTAAAAG